ATTCTTTTAACTTTAACTTCTCTGTGTCTGCGGTCAATGTAATTATGGTGAAACTAATTACCCTAAACTCATAAAGGCTGTTGTTTTGTTTTACCAGGGACTCTAACTGAGACAGTATCCAGGGTTTAGATAAATAAAGAGAAAGGCCCACTCTCTGATAATAGCCTTTGAGGCAATATATTCGACGTATGTTGATGTCATCTGACATTGTCATTTAATATGTGTAATACAGCAACAAAATCTCGCAGTGCAGAGTCCATGCGTCCCTCCTCTTCTAAGTACAGATTCCAAGACGCTCAACACAAGTTGCAGAAGCGGGCACAGTTGGCGGACGCCCAGTCTTTGTACACTGGCGCACACGAGTGAGTGTAGGAGTCACAGTTGCTCCACTTGTCGACACAGGTCGCCGGCAGCGTGTGACGTACTGTAGCCCCTGGCAGGATGACATTTAAAACACTGTAGGACTACGAAATACTTTTTGACATTGTAATTGGTAAGAAACTTCATGTTGTGGAACGGACTGGAAAGAGAAAACTCCTCGGCCCATTATTTACTGGGATATTATGTCCTTCACGCTTTACAATAAACAATGCACGCCACACGTTAAGTATTCTACACTAAACACTATATAAACAATCGGCCAAAAGAATCTCAACAAATGAAATTTAAAAAAATTGAAAACGCAAGTTGAAACTAAATCAATGCAAACATATCGTCCTAATAATGCTCTATGCAGAAGGTGATGCACGTCCACAGCATTAACGGATCGCCTCTGTGGTCTAGTGGTAGAGCGTCAGCCAGGAGAGTGGAATGTTCGGGTTTCGATCCCCGGGAGCGTCATACCAAAAGACGTTAAAAGATGGTACTTGTTGTTACTCTGCCTGGCACTCGGCGTTCAGGGGCTAAAACAAGGACTGGTCGGCTCGGAGATAAACACACTACACCCCAAACTATACACATTACACACTACACATCACACACCACACACATTTTGCAACTTAGCACAATATCTACACACTACACCCCAAACAACATACACCACACACCACACACCACACACATTAAACAATGCACTGTATCTTCTACACACTACACACTACACACCGACGTCCCGTATCCCTCGTGTGAGAACAAAATGTCAGTTTATAATATGTCAGTATTTGATGTAAGGAGTAGCAGAACTGGACTTTAATGGATGCCTACCAGTAAATGCCCTTGTTGGTCGTGTTACCGCCACTGTCGTCTCGTCTGGAGTTGGAATCACGTAGACATTTAGAATGATCCTGAGTAGAGAGATTGGGGTATCGGGGGGAGAGGTAGAGAGAGTGGGATATGGGGCGAGAGAGAGAGGGAGAGAGAGAGAGAGCGAGAGAGAGAGAGAGAGAGAGAGAGAGAGAGAGAGAGAGACAGAGACAGACAGACAAAAAGATAGAAGGAAAGCCAGTGAAAGAATGGTAGGTAGTTCATGTGGAGAGACAATTATCACATACATAAGACGTTAGCTTTACAACATCAGTTGTAGGTGCGAGCCACCTTGACACGTCATGTCAGTCTTAGACTCATTCTAATATTCCTGAGATGTGGCTTATTACATAATCTAGGAACTATCTTCATTGACTCCAGACTTTAAGCATTGACTCCTGAAAACCACATTCATGAAACCGGTTGAGTAAATTATACAGCTCATCTTAGGACATTTGTATTTTACTTATACTGAAATCAGACCAGAATGACATGATTATCCACACATGAATACACATGTACATGTGTACAGGTAGTATCAGTGCATCGTAGTGAGCTGACACAGGCGGCAAGTCTTGGCGCAGTTCAGCAACCCCCACCTCTGTTGTGTGTCCGACTTGCAGACAGACTTATAGATGCTACATGTTGTGAGTTTGTCCTCACAGACGGGAGTAGGCGGTGTTGTGGTCGTCGTCGGTGCTGTCGTTGCTTAAATCGTCAAGATGGGACTTTTCACATTTCAATTATTGAATTAGCTAAATGGCTAATATGAGACAATGAGTGTTTTTTGTTCTGATCGCCCTCTGCAAGGAAAAGCGACACAACCTTGCCATATTCACAGGAAATCTCGGCTGAAATGACTACATCATGAGCATGTGTTATATTCTGATGGTGGAAGGTCTTAGCGAAAAGTCTGGCGAATCCTGCCCCAACCGTCAAAAACACATGCAAAGGCAAGTCAACTGTTCACATAACAAACACGGGAACATGTTACAAGTCAAAACAAGGAATTGCATTGGACATCATTATCGTCACCGATGCGTCAAATTTGGAAATGTCCTTCATATATCTACCATAGAACGTTTTGAACGCTTCATGAGGCCATGAATGTGGTAACCTTGATCAAACAACTTGTGAGCAAGAGTCGTATCACGCTCTTGGTACAAAGAACATGCTCGATTGTTCCTCAAAAGCTGTGAGATGTAAACACCAAAAACTGGAGCTGCAGGAATATTGCAATACAGTCTTGAGATGAATGTTTTGCGCTCTGAATCTTTATGCATAGATCTAAACATGAAACAGATGAGGCGGTTTAATTATGGTTCAGGTGGGTAAATCAGTGGAAGGGAATTGGCTACTTGATGGTTATTGAAGGATATCAGATCATCGATATACCTGAGGCATTAATTGAACTTCCTGGCCAAATAACATTATGTTGACTTTCCTAATGAAAGAAGAGTGTACTATTTATTTGCATAAAGGAAGAGATCAGTAAGAAGAGGAGCACAATTGGCACACGTGGGGATGCCTTCTTCTTACCTAAATCTTACAAAAGGTTTACATAGATGTTATCAACAAGGAAGTCCAGCATCTCACACATTGTTTCTCAGGAGACTTCAGATGGCATTTGCCTTCATTTTTTGACAAAATGTCTTGAACCTCTGAAGATGGACGTGTGACTTTACCTTTTGTCACCACGTTTTGCAACAAAAGCCCCATGGATAGAGAAGTTAAGACAAAGAATGTATGTGTTAGCGACGGTCGGGATATGTTTGGTAGAAAGATATAATAAATCAGCATATTTCATCCAAAATATATCCTATAAAGTACTGTTGAATTTTTATCCGCATCACGTTGGAATTATTAAGGCCACCTTTGAATATCAATACCGGGCCACATGTACGGTCACGGGGGGCGCGGGTGCCCCAGTCGTCTAAGGGGATGCAGTTCCCTGTGCAGAGTTGCATCCCTTGGGCACGCCAGAAACCTTTGATTGGGGATTCGAATCCCGGTTCGCCCCAATTATGTTTCTAGGTTTGTCAGCACCGTACCCGTGCTCGTGGGTTTCACAGAAGAGGTAAAGGTCTGAGATCTGCATCACTTCGGGCTTTCCTCCCAAATTAACTGACGCGTGATATAACTGGAATACTGTTAAAACTGGCGTTAATCCCAACTCACTCACTCACTATTCACGTTAAACTGCGGCATGGTGTCTCAGTTGGCTAGCTATATGAAACCGACATTAATTAAGTCCAAGCAGCCACACACATACACACATAAACACACATTCAAATCCATTCTCTCCCTCTCTTTTTTTCTCTCTCTCTCTCACACACACACACACACACACACACACACACACACACACACACACACACACACACACACACACACACACACACACACACACACACACACACGCGCACATTTTACACATGCATCCAATAAACACACAGACACACACACATCCACCTTAAGGGATTCACGCAATAACGCTTTCCAAAACATAACTTTGCTTTTGTAGCGTGGAGTGATTATTTGGGAACTGTGAAATGACACTGAGCTATTTTCAAGCATTAATATTTTCATCCACAAAACTGTAACTCATGAACTGACCAATCACGTATTGACTGCTTTTATATGTGGTTAAGGATTGTAGTCATAATTAGGCATTGGAACATGGACATGTGCTGGAGGTACATGAGCACACAACAAGCTACCTCATGTCTTGTAATGATCTTGTATCCATATCTACTCTCTGTGAGTTCATTATTGAAAAACTGCCCGTATATCAATCAAAAACAAAAATGGGTTCTTATGGATGAAAAGGTGTATGATGTTAAGTTGAGAATGCCAATATTTTTATTTTAACATTTTAGATGGCAGTGCATCGACAATTGACAGACAAGTTCTTGACGTGCAGCATCTGCATGGACGTCTTTGATGAACCCTGTACACTTGTGTGTTATCACACATTTTGTCGGAAATGTGTCGTTAGCTACACTAAAACCAGACCAGAAGCCATCAGTGCCAAGTCTCTCCTCTGTCCATTCTGTCGAAAGATGACCAAAGTAGTCAACTCAAACAGGCCAGTTGAAGAGTGGGCACAGGAGGTGAAACCCAGCTTTTTGATTCAGGGTCTCTTGGATTCATTTAATCCCAAGACAAAAGGTATTTCCGAATAGGCTACCAGTGCTGAACTCATCCTAACATATTTACGTTGTTCATATCCCTGGTTTGTGAATTCCTCGTATGTACATTGAAAGGTTAAAGGTTATTTCGTAATATTATAGTTCTATTGTTGAAAAATAACTGACACATTTGTATGTATACTTGCAGATACCCCGAAGTGCATCCTATGCAGTGATGAAGGAGCGGCACCTCCAGCCACTGCTTGGTGTGCTGACTGTGACATCAGTCTTTGTGAGGGATGCCAGAAGGCTCACAGACGTATTCCTGCCACTCGTCACCATGACGTATCTGACCTGTCCACAGAGGTCAAAATCAACCAAAGACGCAAACCATTCTGTAAGCAACATCCAGATCAAAGCATGCAGTTCTACTGCAAAGATTGTAAGAAACTGCAATGTCAATCCTGTTGCATCTTGTATCACAGAAAGTGTGAGGCAATTCTACCGTTTGAATCTGTTATAAAATATGAACTGAGAGAGAAAGTATGTTTTATGAATGATTGTGAAGAGATCTGTAACAATATACACGAGGTAAGCTTGGGTGAAATTAAGACCATATATGAAGATATGTTTCATTCTACATCGACATTAGTTCTGCACGACACAGTGGACATACAAACAGAAGATGAGACAAGTTTACCTCATGTTTATGACGTGGCAGTGTTCAATGAAGGTGGTACAGACACCATAGCTGTAACTGATAATAACAACAAGTGCGTCAAATCCTTCTACACACGCAATACTCAACCATTTCAGAGTAAGCTCTCTGTTCAGAGCCCCCCTCGGCGGATTGCAAAACTTAGTGCCCATCACATTGCCGTGACCCTTCCCGAGACAAGGGAGATAATAGTGATTGAAGTGAACCCTGACCTTGTTCTTCAATCATACATTTCAACGAGGAAGAAGTACTTTGGTCTGACAGCCCTGACTCCGACTACCCTGGCAGCAGGATCCGGGTCGCCTCCCTGTGTGGACATCCTGGACATAGCGGGGAATGTATTGAGGACGCTGAATCGTGTCACAGATGGGGGAATCCTTGTATCAGATCCTTTATTCCTATCTACCACCAGTCAAGGTTACATCCTGGTGTCTTGCAGTCATGCCCCAAGAAGTCATTTGCTATGTATGACACCAAACGGAGATGTTGTGTTTAATTATGTACCCACAGGACAACACCGAGCAATGAATCCATGCGGCATCACTGGAACAAACACAGGCGACATGCTTGTTGTTGACGACATGTCAAACAAAGTGGTTCATTTGAGTAGTTCAGGCACATGGTTGAGAGACGTACTGACGTCAAGGGATGGCATCACTTTCCCTTATGGCCTGTACTTTGATAAGCTGAGGCATCTGTACGTCACCAACCGCCACTGTGTGATGGTCTACAGGTTCTACGCACCAAACCAAGAGGACATGAAGAGTGATCTCGGTCATTTTGAATAGTGTAGGCGTGTTTACTGCTACTTCCGTGGTCCGAGGGCTGTGACTGTGTTCGATCCTGATGATGAGGTGACAGATGATGATAGATGCACAGAGGACGAAAGCGCATTGTAATGAAACAACATGTTTACGAAACATTAACTTTTGGAAGGTAAAATAAAATCATTTTGTTAAGCTGTGTCCCCCTTTGTATTGACATGTGCATAACAACTATTGTATTTAAAGTGTTGTATATTTTGGCTTTGGCGTGATTCGATTACTATTTTGAGGTGATAAAACAAGGCTGACTGTGTGCAGCCACGTTATACTGCGGCGTGGTATCTCAGTGGGCTAGAACTATAAAGCCGGCATTATGGGACGAGAATGTTATATTGGTGGGGGATGTGGGAGGCTGTGATGGGTACACGGATGGGTAGTAGATGGGTGAAGGAGGGGTAGACTAGTAGTTAGAGCGTTCACAGGTCACAGGTCCTAGTCCCCGCATGGATTCAATGTATGAAGCCCATTTCTGGTGTCCCCCGTGGCCTAAAATCATAGTAACATAATGTTTACTGTTGTATGCGTGACTACTTCTTACTCTGCCAAACATTAAACAGCTGATGACGTCACTGTTGTTCCCGACAACGAAACACGGGTGAAAACTGGGTTCACATTAACACAAATAACACCTTACATCGAATGTCTCAACAGAATTTGAGAAAAAGCAATAAACACCCCTGGAAAATCAAATGTGCAATTGAAGAAGGAACACTGTCATATGTAATTGGTGACTTTTTAATTGAAACATACCTGCAATTAGAGAAACTACAACCTGCTTCTACGCGGATGTGACCCTTGCATCTGTAGGTTTAGCACCCTTAATCACAAGCATATTCTACGTCAAATAAACGGAAACATTTGCCATTTATATGTGTATGATCTGGGCAGAATATTATTTCGAGAACAGAAGCATATATGCTGTGTAGGATTCTGTTTACAATTCACGAAACATCCGTAACCGATCATATACCGTTTTACCGGTGAAGCAAACTTATTATTTACAGAAATAACCTTTGGGCAACGAGAAAGTACGTGTTATCTGTTCCCAGTGGCATATAGTGAGTGCAGAGCCTTGGCGAGGTACTAATACAGTCGATGAAACGGATGTTTTTCTGTAAACTATTTTCCATACTTCTGATAGATAACCATGGCATTCACGACTGTTTCATGGGATAATAAGTATATGTAAATTAACAAGCTTGTCGGCAGTGTTGTGATCGCTCATGTTTTCTAAACTTGTCCTTGGATGAATGAACAAAACAGCATCAATATATATGGAAACAATATGTATTTGTAAGTAACGAGGTCACATGAGATTTTAACCACCATTTCTCCCTTCACATCACAAAGCGTTTACTGATGTTTGTTACAAAGACATGCGTCGTGTTCCACGGAGAAACCAAGTGCTGAAACGATCCCTTTTCACATCTTTTAACATAAATTCCCGTCGTAGAACGGGTTCCATAGTGGTGTGGTGTGTGTTATGTATTCATTTAAACAAGAAAGACAATCTGTACAAAGGTAGTGTCAGCACTTTTATTATGACAGAAATGTAAACACCTGGATATGCATGTAAATGGTTATAAAAACACTTAAACTGACAGGAAGTGGTTAATGGTTTAATTATCAGAGTTTTATTGTATTTACAAATATATGATTATATACTTCACGAGGCAAAAAGGCTTTACTTTCCAGCAGTTGCTTACATGCCACAAAAAAATGCGCTCCAATTGTCTGTTTGTTGTTCGTCGCAGCACTCGGCAATATTCAAGCTATATGACGTTGGTCTGTAATTAATCGAGTCTGGTCAGAAAGTCCAGTGATTGACAGCATGAGCATCGATCTATGTATTTGGGATACGATGACATACAATCAACCAGGTCACTTGATCCATTAAGTCGCCTCGAACAACTGGCACACGTTGTTGGTGACCTTTGCTCTTTGCCGAAATCCGCCCTCCCCTCCCCGCTAACTTAAATATACACGTAATACATCCGCATTCAGTAACGGAATATTTGTTTGACGGGTGACAATTCCAGTTCTGTGCATTCATTGTTCACATACACCTCACAGCTCCACATCATTGTCACAAACATCGCGAACACCTGGTGTGGGCACAATAAAACTGCGCACCCCCCAACCACTGACCCACATAATAGTTCTTAAACGTTTTAATTCGTAGGTTAAAATTAACGTATCGGTTTTATTAGTTTTAACAAAATCAGTTAATGCACTAACGTGTCACTGGAATTTCTGGTTCATCGATCACTTGATTTTCTGGTTTGTTTACAGGCCGCCGTCTCACGATACGAGTACAGCTGTGCCGCGTCAGGGACAAATACTTCTTTTGTCATGAAAATTGTGTGATTGGCGAAAGCTACCGATAGGGCCGGACATGCTTACCCTTTTCGCGAACACCTGGTGTCATCACTCAATATCAGTGTTCCATTCATATAAATTTCATAACTATTTTGCACTTCACGTCAAATTTTAATCTGTTTCGGCGGACAGTCTGGACTGATGTTCTCTTGTATTGGAAATTCATATTTACATAAACTATTGTCACACAGATGGTGACGGATTCTTTCAGGAACAATCGTTATGCATCCACATCTTAGGTGTTTCTTGTAAATCTGTAGATCTTCAAACAGTCATCATCGATGACATACAGGTGCTGACTTTCACACAGGCAGAGACTATGCGGAGATGTAATACCATCACGTGACGTCAACACTTTCCTCACAAACGTCCCAGAAGCGCTGAGTTGAAACACACAATTTGCATTGAGATATATAACCAGGATATGTCCTGTGTTGGTTTCAGTGATTCCACGAAGGGAAGGCCACGGCTGTGTAGGCTGATACCTGAACACAACATCTCCATGAGGAGTCAGACAGAGGACACTGCGAGCTCCGTATTCCCCGCAAGACATGAGGATGTTACCCTGCCTGGTGGTACTGAGGAACCAAGGATCTGATACAAGTTTCTCTCCATCTGTGACAGGATCCGGGGTCTTCAACACATTCCCCGCCATGTCCAAGATATCCACACAGGGAGGATCCAGTGATCCTGCTGCCAAGGTTGTCGGTGTCAGGGATGTCAGACCCACATACACCTTCCTTGTAGAGATGGATGATTGAAGAACCAGTTCAGGCTTCACTTCTACTATTATTATTTCCTTAGTGCCATGGAGAGTCACAGCCATTTTATTATTGTTTCATTTTGCAATACATAGAGGAGCGCTTTGTACCCCCAGCTTACTCTGACATGACTTCTTGTTTCTTTTGTAGAAGGATTTCACACACTTGTTGTCATAATCTGTGACAACTATGGTGTCTGTGTTGTCGACAACAAACACTGCCACGTCAAAAGGACTGGGTTTTTCCTTATCATCTTCTGCCTGCATGTCCACTGTGTCATACAGAACTGCTGTAGATGTAGAATCAAAAACATCTTCAACAATGATATCAATCACACCCAAGTGTAGATCGTTTAGTTTCCCACACATCAGATGACGATCGTGTATGAAACAAGCCTTGCCCCCAGATACATCCTCCATACCTGACTCTGGGACAGACACAGTGGCTGCCTCCTCCGACTCACTCCACAGATACATCTCACAGATGTCCACGTCACTCTCAGACTCCAGAGCTCTGCCCAGCAACTCCGAGTGTTGACGAATCATCTGCCTGGCAATCGCCTCACGCTTCATGTCTCCTTTCAGCTGTCCTATTTGTTTCTCTGTGATGACATCTATTTGCTCCAAGAGTTGTCTCTCCTTCTTCTTTATCAAGTCAATGGCGGTGTGGGTTGCTGATCGGACCTGAGACTGAAGGCTTGACTTGTTCTCATTAATTTCAGTACATTGTGCTCCCTTCTTTGCAAGGCGAGTGTTTGATGTTGCTAAATCAGTCTCTAGTTTCTGTTTTACAGTTTGAAGAGTGTTTTGCATTTCAGGCAACACAGATTCAAGCGAGACAATGGACTCACACTTTCTGTGATACAAGGTGCAACACGATTGACATTGTAGTTTCTTACAGTCCTTGCAGTAGAACTGCATCCTCTGATCTGGATGTTCTTTACACAGAGGTTTGCGTCTTTTCTTCACCTTGACATCCCTTGACATGTCCGATACGTCATGGTGACGGGAGGAAGGATTACGAACATGGGCCTTAAGACATCCACCACACAGCGAGACTTCACAGTCAGAACACCAAGATGTAGCTGGAGTTGCCTCCCCATCATCATCACATAAGTTGCAGTTATTTGTTCCTAAAAAGAAATATACACATGTATTATGTTGACATGGTTTATATTTAAGGTTGTTTACAGAGAAATATAGGTTATGTTAGGATGTACTTAGAAAGTGCTTCACATGAATAGGAAATATGAATATTAGAGCACCTATTTGCGTCATCTTTATAAAGACATTTATCCTTTCCTTTATCAGTACCCATTTAAGGGGCACCAGTGGCGCGCCCTTCTTAATCTGCATGTCTGCATCCTACAAATCCAAGAGTCGCCCTCATTATGTTCATGGTATGTCCGCACCATTATTGTGCTCGTGGGTTTCACCAAAGTGACATTTGACATCGGATCAAGTTTTCCACACTCATCAAACTGACATGCGATGCTATAACTGGAATACTCAAGTACACATTTCACGTTTAGGTTGGTTCATTTTGGTTTTCCAACATAGAAAATACAGTACCTGTTAATAAAACGTACCTATCAACTGGTAATAAAAAGTCGATACAACAATAAATTGAAAAATGTATTTTTGTGTTCGTATGCAATAAGAAAGGCGTTAACATTACGTGGCATTGTGACCAGACAAGGTCAATGACATTACTTCAAAATCATGAGAATCAATACTTTGTCTAAGAAGCAAACGAGCAAATATGTTACAGGATTAACTGCAGGCCTAATAGTGTGCCACTGAAAGAAATGACAGAGATATTCAAGTAATGTTAGGACAAAAACGAGTATGTCATAGATGGGTAAATACTGTTGCCTGTGTTGAAGATGAATTAAAACCATATGGATTGAGTGGAAGTGCAACCACCATGGTCTCTGGTGTATACTTATACCTTGACTGCAGGGAGCGAAGGAATCCATGAGACCCTGAATCAAGAAGCTTGGTTTCACCTCCTGTGCCCACTCTTCAACTGGCCTGTTTGAGTCGGCTACTTTAGTCATCTTACGACAGAATGGACAGAGGAGAGACTTGGCACTGATGGCTTCTGGTCTGGTTTCAGTGTAGCTAACGACACATTTCCGACAAAATGTGTGATAACACACAAGTGTACAGGGGTCATCAAATACGTCCATGCAGATGCTGCAAGTCAGGAAATTGTCTGTCAATGTCCTGTGCATCGCCATCTGTAATAGTAAAACATATTTATGAACAAACAATTTAGATTTTGACCCTTTTGTGAATTATATATTTTCAGTTGAGGTGAAGTAAAAGATTTATCATCATAATTTCAAGTAATTACTCGTCCAGCTCCAACAAAGCCAATTACTACACTAACACTGAGACAGACTAATACATCGTCTTTGTAATATTTTATTACACATAACATTTCTCTCTTCTTAAATAAAAACAATTAATGTTCCTGATGCTGATTTCATAGGGATTGTTAGAGCTGGCTAGAATTGTTTTTATATAAAACTAAATAGGTTTTGTTTTTATAAAATACATATATTCCACAGTCATGGTGCAGGACCATATTCAAGACTACTTTAGTAGTAGACCATTAATGATCTTCTAATTGTAATTTGACATAAGTTTGCCTTGCTCTTTCTGGACTCTGTTATAGCTCACGTGATTCTTTTATTGAAAGAGGCATTGTGCAAATATTTTAAGAGAACTTAGATTTTGTACAAGTTGCAACAAATGATGTCAAAATGTATAATTAGTTCAGAAAATAGTATCTAAATCACTACTTTTACCACAATGGACATGTAAACAAATTTTGCAAAATATTGCACAGAATCCATAATAATATAGTTGTTCATTTGTTATGCTTTGAGAACTGGTAACAACCCGGCCTTTGGCCTCAACCGTATCATGAAAACATACTGATTGATTTGTTGACTGATTGGCTGGTTGGTTGGTTGGTTTCAGGACATCGCAAGTTTACGACAAGTTTCAGTATTGTGTAACACCCCATGCATGAACCACCGCCAGCTCAATCATGTTGAAACTTCCGTAAAATGCTTATATATGGCCATGACTCATTCCAGTACATTTGCATAACGAAAGTAGAATCTTTGATTCTGTTGGCTGACCCAGGGAGGGGTGGGGGGTGTCCAAAGGTCCCCCTCCTCTTTCTTTTAAAGACAAATTGTGTAGGCAGTAAACTTATCTGAACGAAGATTTGGATATGTTGGACCCCTCCCCAGAAATGCTTGATCCGCCCTTCTATTCTAGGAATAGATGGACTCGTGTTGTGTAAATAACACTGACATCTGTTGCTTTAAATAAAAACAAGTTTTGACAATGGATCTGGATCTATATTGCTGACACTTTGCTGATGCAACGTTCAAAATAAACTGTAACTAAATCTTATAATAAAGCCCACGCAGAAACTATACGACCATGTACATCCAGGAAGTATGAAGCTATTTTCACCCCTTCCATACACCTGTGGCATGTCACACTCATCAAGTATATACGGGACGTCGCACTGATCAAATATATACTGGACGTCACACTGATCAAGTATATACGGGACGACACACTGATCAAGTATATACGGGACGACACACTGATCAAGTATATACGGGACGTCGCACTGATCAAGTATATACTGGACGTCGCACTGATCAAGTATATACTGGACGTCACACTCATCAAGTATATACGGGACGACACACTGATCAAGTATATGCGGGACGTCAAACAAACTTCCATGTTGCCAATGCTCCCATTACCTTTACTTGTCAGTGGTTTAACCTCTCATTCTTCCAGTCTGCCCGACGCCATGTCGACTGTGTCCTGGCGTGTCGAGGGGCGGGTCGGTCAGCTGCTATGCGTTATCTGATGCACACATACTGGTATCCAGCCTAGTCACTGCAGGTGAAACACTGATAGCGACTGACATGCAGGGACGCGTCCAGTGTATACTCCACAACAGTGTTTCGTTTTCCTGATGTTTGTTTTTGTCGTCTATTTATTGTTCATCAGTGTATCTGTAATTTATTGAACTATTTGAAAGAATTGACTTATTCGATTCCGATATGATCATCCTACATTTCCTATGCATGAATCACATGAGTCAAAAGTAATGTAAAGAATATTTGATTCCATTCAGTTTGGCTCAGTTCCCCACTAGGAGCTCAGTTGTGTAAGGCGCGTAATAGACTGTGCAGAGTTGCTTCCCTTAGACCATGCCTGATGTCGTCAGTTCGGATCACAGATTCGCCCTGATTGTTTCTAGGGTTGTCAGCACCATACCTGTGCACGTGGGTTTCACCACAGTTGCAAACGTCTATTAACTACATCGAGTCCGACCACAAACACTCTGCCGGCCATATGTAACTGAAATACTGTTAATTAAGCGCTGTTAAAGTCTTTCAGCGAGTGAGTTTTGGTAAACTTTGAAAGCTGTTTCAGTTAAACAGGTGTGGAAACTACAGGCACGGTAAGGTGCGGGCAGCAAAAACATCATAATCAAGGCAAAGCTGGAATTCCGCACAGCAACTCTGCACAGCTAACTTTTGAGCCTTCGATCCTTTGGCAGCGTCATAGCACAACACGTTAAAAGATAACACTTGTTGTTTCCCTGCCTGGCGCTCGATGTTTAGGGAATAAAACAAGGAGTGACTGGTTGGGTTTCATTACACTGCATGCGGGTATCCATTACAAACTGCAGCAAAGTGCTTCCCTTCCCCCCTCTCCCATGTGTTTACAGCAACAAAATCTCGCAGTGCAGACTCTATGCGTCTCTCCTCTTCTCGGTACAGATTCCAAGACGCTCAGCACAAGTTGCAGAAGCGGGCACAGTTGGCGGACGCCCAGTCTTTGTACACTGGCGCACACGAGTGAGGGTAGGAGTCACAGTTGCTCCACTTGTCGACACAGGTCGCCGGCAGCGCGTGACGTACTGTTGCCCCTGGCAGTGAAACAGGATGACATTGAAACACTAGGAATACGAAATACTTGTAGACATTGTACTTGGTAAAACTCACCAGCACATTATATACACGCTATACAGTATACACTACACCCCACACGTTATTTATTCTACATTAAACAGTGATATAAACCTGCGGCCAAAACAAACTTTACAAATTTATAAATGAAATTGCAATAAATTAAAAACACAAGTTCAAACCAAATCAATGCAAACACATCGTCCAAACAATGCTCTATGCAGAAAGTGATACACGTCCACACGGGTTGTACTAGTATGTAAAGGCAGCTTGTGGTCACCTTGGTTTACAAGGGTTCATTTTTGTAAATTGTTAACACGTCTATGTCTTTCAATAATTGTACCCTCTTTGAGCTTACTATTGATGACAGGAGTTTTTTTATGAAACTGCATGTTGAGATATGAGCGACACTCATGTTTTCGGTCACCAGAATGCATTACGTCATAAACAATATTGCAATTCTCATGATACCTGACGTGAACAATACAAATCAATATTGAACCGATAGACAAGCAGCTACATCATAATGTCGTCATTAAATTTTATTGACTGCTCTTTGAACAATAATTCAGCAATATAACTGCTTATCAGCTTAATGTCTGAGAATGGGCCCTGTTTGTAACTTATAGTAATTGTAATATTGAAATATACATACCTTCACACGATAGTGGCCCAAATTACAACATGCGCTTCAACATCCACTAGCATTCCTTTGTTTCAGGATATTTGGTAAAGCATTTAAACCCTTTCGCAAAATGGAATCTGTTGCATGAACTCAAAAGTTGAACTTGTAAATACTCAGTTTGATTGAATTCCCGACATATTACTACACTTCCGCCCACCAAACATCGCCTCAGGTGCAATATGTGTGCAGTCATACAAAAAACATGCACAATACAAATGTTATACTGCATTAACTATCGATATTGCAACATATGGTGACCAGCTAGCTGCGTGAGAGCGTTTATGAGCAGCCTGTGTCAGTGTACAGCCCCGCCTCTTACAATACCGAGACAGACAGTCAGTCCAGCAGAATGGTTGGAGGAGACATCTGACGAAGCTAAAGGTATTTTCTTGATTACCGAGCAAGTATGTTGTCTGGTGCTACATCATAGTGAAGTGGTATTTTCTTTGTTTCTGTGTCGAGGTATAATTTCTGTTTGTTGTATTGTACATTGTCTTCCTATTGGACAGCATTTTCTGACATTACTATTAGTGACACAGGACTGAAACTGGATCATCAGGTTCATGGTTACAGCTCTTCTAAACATGTATCAATCAATACTTCAATTACAAACATCTGACTGTCTTGCAAACCGTGACAGGTGCCTTTCATTGACAATATCTAGGTACATATATTATTCTCATGACATTATCTCAATAATCATTGGTCATGTTTATGTTTTCATAGCAACTGAGACTGTCTCCGTGGTCTAGTGGATAGAGCGACTGCCCAGACAGCAGAAGGTCTGTAGTCCGATCCCCGGCCACATGCTCGGCATTAAGGAGCTAAGACAAGAACTGGTTGGCTTGGAGTCAGTATATTGTGTCGGAGTGTGGAATTCATGTTAAAGGGGCACGGGTGGCCCAGTCATCTAAGGCGCCGTGATTCGCTGTGCACAGTAGCGTCCCTTGGGCACGTCAGAAACTTATGATTGTGGGTTCGAATCCCGGTTCGCCCCGATTATGTTTCTAGGATTGTCAGCACCATACCCATGCTCGTGGGTTTTACCGAAGTGGTAAACGTCTGAGATCTGCATCACTTCGGGAATTCCTCCCACATTAAGCTGACACGCCTGATATAACTGGAATACTGTTAAAAGCAGCGTTACACCCAACTCACTCACTCACTTTCATGTTAAAATGCGGTATGGTGTCTCAATGCATAGTGGGCTAGCAACATGAAACCGGCATTAAGTACAAGCAGCCACATACATAAACACACATACAGAAACACATTCACATCTAGTCTCTCTCTGTGTGTCTTACACACACACACACACACACACACACACACACACACACACACACACACACACACACACACACACACACACACACACACACACACACACACACACACACACACATCCAGTCTCTCTCTCTCTCTGTCTTACACACACACACATACACACACACACACACTCACACACACACACACTTTACACATGCATCCAATAAACACATGCATCCAATAAACACACAGACACACATGTGCACCCTAAGGGATTCGCGCAATAACGCAATAACGCGTTCCAAAACATAACTTTGTCTTTGTATTGTGGAGTGATTATTTGGGAACTGTGAAATGACACTGAGCTATTTTCAAGCATTAATATTTTCATCCACAAAACTGTAACTCACGAACTGAGCTCCCACTTACTGACCGCTTTTATATGTTGTTCAACATTGTTGTCATTGATAGACAGTGGAACATGAACATGTGTCGGAGCAACATGAGCACATAACAAACTACTTCATGTCTTTAAAGATCGTTGTATCATATCTACTCTCTGTGAGTTCATTTTTGATAAAACTGCCCGTATATCAATCAAAAACAAAAATAGGTTCTTATGGATTAAAAGGTGTATGATGTTAAGTTGAGAATGCCAATATTTTTATTTTAACATTTTAGATGGCAGTGCACCGACAATTGACAGACAACTTCTTGACGTGCAGCATCTGCATGGACGTCTTTGATGACCCCTGTACACTTGTGTGTTATCACACATTTTGTCGGAAATGTGTCATTAGCTACACTAAAACCAGACCAGAAGCCATCAGTGCCAAGTCTCTCCTCTGTCCATTCTGTAGAAAGATGACCAAAGTAGCCGACTCAAACAGGCCAGTTGAAGAGTGGGCACAGGAGGTGAAACCAAGCTTTTTGATTCAGGGTCTCTTGGATTCATTTAATCCCAAGACAAAAGGTATTTCCGAATAGGCTACCAGTGTTGAACTCATCCTAACATAGCTACATTGTTCATATCCCCGGTTTGTGAATTCCTCGTCTGTACATTGAAAGGTTAAAGGTTATTTCGTAATATTATAGTTCTTGTGTTGAAAAATAACTGACACATTTGTATGTATACTTGCAGATACCCCGAAGTGCATCCTATGTAGTGATGAAGGAGCGGCACCTCCAGCCACTGCTTGGTGTGCTGACTGTAACATCAGTCTTTGTGAGGGATGCCAGAAGGCTCACAGACGTATTCCTGCCACTCGTCACCATGACGTATCTGACCTGTCCACAGAGGTCAAAATCAACCAAAGACGCAAACCATTCTGTAAGCAACATCCAGATCAAAGCATGCAGTTCTACTGCAAAGATTGTAAGAAACTGCAATGTCAATCCTGTTGCATCTTGTATCACAGAAAGTGTGAGGCAATTCTACCGTTTGAATCCGTTATGCCAGAACTGATCAGCTGTGTTACAGGAGTTAAGGAAAGACTAGCGTCTCATTTACAAGCAACAGAGAGTTTGCTAACAGATTTAGAAACCAAACGGACTGAGGTAATAAAGAACAGAGTCACCGTTCAGTGTCAGATCCGATCCACAATCCAGACAGTCACAGAAGCCATAAAGAAGAAGGAACGACAACTCCTGGACCAACTGGATGACGCCACTGAGAAACATATCGAGCGACTGAAAACTGAAATGAAGTCTGAAGAGATGGCCAAGCAGATGATAAGTCATCACTCTGTGATGATAGACAGAGCTCTGGAGTCTGGAAGTGAAATGGACATCTATGAGATGTACCTGTGGTGTGAGTCAGAGGAGTTTCCTACAGTATACGACTCAGATTCAGATATAAAATATGAACTGAGAGAGAAAGTATGTTTTAAGCATGATTGTGAAGAGATCTGTAACAATATAAACGAGGTAAGCTTGGGTGAAATTGATACCATATATGAAGATGTGTTTGATTCTACATCGACATCAGTTCTGCACGACACAGTGGACATACAAACAGAAGATGAGACAAGTTTACCTCATGTTTATGACGTGGCAGTGTTCAATGAAGGCGGTACAGACACCATAGTTGTAACTGATAATAACAACAAGTGCGTCAAATCCTTCTACACACGCAATACTCAACCCTGTCAGAGTAAGCTCTCTGTTCAGAGCCCCCCTCGGCGGATTGCAAAACTTAATGCTTAATCACTGGAACTGGAACAAACACAGGCGACATGCTTGTTGTTGACGACATGTCAAACAAAGTGGTTCATTTGAGCAGTTCAGGCATAACATCACCATAATATGTAAGCATAACCACCTTAATTGTTTGATCACAGACATTGGTATAAGTGACATACCAAAAATGCCACATAAAATGCCAGCTTGTTAACTGAAGAAATTTGTCCAAACCACGCATCAGAACGTTTGGCTTCACTCTATAACCTGAAGACATGCCCGTCCCTTTTTTCAATAAAAGTCCGTACAAAGAGAGAGCTATTCCTGGCTCCAGAAATTATACCTCCAAATCCCTGTCTCAAAGATTTACCATAATCCTTAATACAATAAATAAATTTCTTTATAGATATTCACAGAAAGAATTAGAGTGAAAGTGAAATCAATACCATGTGAATTCCACAATCTCAGAAAACAGCAAAAATCAGTTCTGTCAACACATTTGATTTGTCAACTTTGTATATCACTACCCCACATGACAAACTTAAGGAAAAACTGCATTCCTTGATCCATACAAAACGTGGTCACATATCTGTCTTCAGAGGTTCAGGGCAATTTGTCAATAACGGAAGCAAATGTCATCTGAAGTTTACTGAGAAAACAATGTGTGTGAATGCTGGACTTCCTCATTGATAACATTCCCATGGGCACTAATTGTGCTTCAGGTATATCGATGATCTTTAATTGTTCATTAACCATCACCGCCTCCGTGGTCTTGTGGTAGAGCGTCCGCCCGGAGAGCGGAAGGTCCAGGGTTCGATCCCCCGCCGCGTCATACCAAAAGACGTTAAAAGATGGTACTTGTTGTTACCCTGTCTGGCGCTCGGGATTAAGGGTCTAAAACAAGGACTGGTCGGCTCGGAGTCAGTATACTGTGTCTGAGTAGGGTATTCATGTTAAACTGCGGCATGGTATCTCAGTGAGCTAGCACTATAAATCGGCATCAGTCCGGACTAGTACAAGCAGCCACACACACACACACACGTGCATGCACGTCGCTATATAAGTGCAATAATCTTGGACGCGACGTTAAACCCAATTTCACCTCACCTCACCTCAATAACCACTATCCTTCCACTGATTTACCCCCCTGAATTAGAAATAATGGAGACCAGTGAGATCGGCTCATCTGGTTCATATTTAGATCTTTGTATAAAGATTCTGGGCGATAAAACACTCACCAAAAGGCTGTGTAAGAGGGATGACTCCAACTTTCAAATATTGTCTAGCAATATTCCTGCAGCTTCAGCCTTTGGTGTCTACATTTCACAGCTTTTGAGGAACAATCGGACATGCTCTTACTACAAAAGTGTCATAAGACTCTTGTTCTGAAGTTGTTTGATCTAGGTCACACTATTCAAGGCCTCGGCAAAGCTTTCAAAGATTTATGGTAGACTTAGGATTTATGTGGAGGACATTTCCAAATGTGACGCATCAGTGACAAGAATGTTGTCCAATGCAATTCCCTATTTTGACATGTACCATATGTTCCCGTATCTTATTTTTCCGGAGGAAAGTGACTTGCCTTTGCATGTGTTTGTGACAGGGGCCACTGGTGGGGCAGGCTAATGATATCCAGTCAGATCGCTGTCCGTATCTCGTATAGCTTCACAAAAATGGCGACCACCATAGGCGACGACGTCGTATGACGAAAACATTCGCGATTTCTTCCGTGAGACAAAAACATAAACAATCGTTTGTGGGTTTTAGAGATGAGAAAAACATATTCGTGTCAACAAAGACTGACAGCAGTAAATTACTTCCATACGAATGTGAAACGTTCTCTGACTATCGATATATGCGATACACCATACAGTCCCTATATAGACGTTGTGCGGGCACTGTTAAACAGATTTTGTCCATAGCTACTTTAATGTCATCAAAAGACAGCAATACATCATCAAACTGTATAATGGACTACATAAGTCGAGGGATATCACAGTATTAGTGTGTAGACAGTTTGACACGCTTTTCTGTTTAACGATGCGCGTCGTAACGTAATGTTTGCTTGAATCGATGAATGTACAAAGATTACTACACGACAGACATGAATTCATCAATCTGATTCTTACACACTCCAACATCGCACCATTTGAGCATCGAATTCTCATGATCACCTTGGCGACTAACGGGATCAGGTGGTCAGGCTCGCTGACTTGGTTGATGCATGTCATGGTATCCAAATTGCATGGATCGATGCTCATGATATCAATCACTCTATTCTCTGGTCCGATTATTTACAGACCGCCGTCATATAGCTGGAATATTGGTGAGTGCGGCGATAAACAACAAACAAGCAACATTACACATCGGTTATTTGTGACGTCATCCGGCATTCTGCCTACTGCCCATACCTACTGACCCCCCACAATAAAACTCTCTGCCATATCTGTGGATTATCAAGGCGACCAAGACAATGCAAACTAGAAAAAACAAAGAATTGACACTCAAAAACCGTAAAAACTCGGCACAGACGCAGGTGAATTTGACCGAAGCACGAGTAACTTATGAATTGCAATCAGGAAAGTAGCACGTTCTAATCTGACCTTAGGTCATTACCATAGAGTAGCCAGTCACGGGCCTGGAATTCGATCTCATACATATGTATTATACCAGTTATCTCAAATGGGTTTCTCACCCACTGGTTTGTAAGAAGTCAGGTTTCTATTGCACTACAGGGGATCTACGTTTTGTACATTTCATTGACTATATTTTTCATACTTTGAAGTAACACAACACTTGCTTACAGGTAGTAAACACATGAGGTTGGAATGTATACAATATATGTGGTTGGAGGAATAACACGATATCAGCAAGCTTGTTGATCGCACCCTACACCCAATGCTCAGTAAATTCACATATGTTTTTTATGAACGCTTCACTCAATACATTGACGTTACATCTCCTGGAAGCGCAAGTAAAATACATCGTGCGGCGTTTCGATTACGATTGATTTTTGTTTGTTCTTTAACGCCACACTCAGCAACATTCCAGCTATATGACGAGGGTCTGTAAATAATCGAGTCTGGACCAGAAAATCCAGTAATTCACATCATGAGTATCGATCCACCCATTTGGGATATGATGACATGCATCAACCAAGTCAGCGAGCCTGACCACCTGATCGCCTCTTACGACAAGCATAGTCACCTTTTACGCAAGTATGGGTTGCTGAAGACCTGGTCTACGGAATGGTGGTACACAGTGATATACGGACAACACCTTTACTTCAAGTTAGAGGCCACAGGCCCAGAGAACATAACATTACAGGAATACAATTACTCATAAAGTGACTTTTACAATTTCACTGCATTCAATATGAATTTTGATAGCTGTACAGAAGTAGGTTTATGATTAGATGACATCTGGCTAACACAGGATTCCAGTGAGGGATTTACAAAGTATTTAGGATCAATGGATCAATATCTTAAATCATTAAGCAGGGCATACAAGTGCAAAATAATATTCATTTTCCCCTTGACTAATATTTAATCGGAGACAATATCTACATTCTGGATCGACGCCTTTGCGTCTGCCCCAACCATCAACTGATGACAGCCACATATCAATCTTGACAACGCTTGTTTCAGTAGTGCAGAGTCGACCTGTGTAAGATATACTTCGGTCTGTAAAACTGATTTGAAGGTTGAATATGCCATTAGCTTTGGATTTGATTATATTGATGAATACCATCGTTGGATGTTGTAATCAGATACACGTTGCTTAAACTGAGATATAAAAAGATAAACATTTCCAACATCTTGCATAATCCAGGCGTAGCCAAAGCCAAAGCCAAACTGGAATAAGATATGTTTTATTTTAGTGGCCCAGGAAGTTCTGTTTACGCAATCCAATCCATACAGCATTAGTGACGTTTGCTTCGGAAGTCGGCCATTATTCACTGTGACTAGTTTATCCAAATATTTTACACATTTTGTCACATAGGTGAGAATATATAGGTGAGAAATAATAGAGGTCGACTACTTTCTCCAAGAACAGCATCATTACAAGAAATCAGAGGCAGATACAGAATTCTTTTTATATACTTAGTCTGAACTCTCCACGACTTCGTATCCCAAAAGTTCGGAGCCGTATACAGTGGTATACAATGGTACGCAATGGTACAGTTTACCCTCAGCTAGTCCGGACCCTGTAAGTCATTGTATCCTTATTTCGTTGATCGATGCTCATAATATCAATCACTGGATTGTCTTGTCCAGACTGGAATATTTACAGACCGCTGCCATATAGCTGGAATATTTGTGAGTGCGGCGTTAAACAACAAACAAACAAACCACCATTCCGTTGTTCACGCCCTGTGGTGAAACAGTTCCACAGGGACACTTATCTAACTTGTAGTTTAGTATTCGTAATGGCAGCCACGTTCAAGCTTCATAGTGTCTCACGCTATTTCTTCGTCTGCGTCCACCTACTCAGTTAGTTTGAAAATGCGGTCATTTATGTTGCAACGTGGCCCTCTTATATTAAGAATGTATGCTAGTCAGGTACCCTTGCGACCCGTGAAGATCCGGGGTAGAACAGGTCTTCAGCAACCCATACTTGCCGTAAAAGGTGACTATGCTTGTCGTAAGAGGCGACTAACAGGATCGGGTGGACAGGCTCGCTGTCATGGTTCATGTCATCGTATCCCAATTGCATGGATCGATGCTCATGATATCAATCACGGGATTGTCTGGTCCAGACTCGATTATTTACAGACCGCCGTCATATAGCTGGAATATTGCTGAGTGCGGCGTTAAACAACAAACCAACCAACCAGATAGCTTTGCACCGCCCGATTGCTGACAGTACACCATGTTGAAACATTAAAATTGTGCACGGATGCCAGTGAGCTAACGGTCCTCCCTAGTATGGGGACAATGTGTGATGCCAATTATTTTGGTTTGCTATGGCAATATTGCTGGATAATCGCTAAACATAGACTTAAAATAATATTCTCTCCCACCCAC